AGAGTTTACACGTATTAATAAAAGTGTACCCCTTTTCTAATTAGTAAAATTTTAGGATATTTCGGCTTAAGCATCCTTGAGTTTGAATAGTACTAGGCTAAATAGCCTCCCAAGAAGTCAAAACTTACATAAAACTTAAATAAAATATATTATAAAACTAAAAGAGAAAACTTAGACTAAAATCACTCCAAACTTAACGCTCCAATGTTTTGTATAAAATGACTCCTTTTATAATCATCATATCATATTTTATATTTTGTTGATATTATAAAATATTCCAAGAAAGGTAATGAATTTAGATAACTATTGTTAAATAGTAGTAGAAATCTTTATAAGGCTAGAGGTATGCTTAAATATAAAAGTTATATAGCAAATTATTTTATAAAGGTGGGCTTTATATTTGTCTATAACGAGTGTTGCTTAGGTTCAGTCTTTTTTCTTTGGATGCCTAAGCTTAAGCATAACTCCATTTTGCTTAAGCGTCCTTATTCTACTCTACTTGGGAAGATATACAAGTCAAAACATTTACCTCTTCATCAGAACTCTTTATTACTTGATTTAATAATACCACTTTTACTAATACAAGTGCTAACAATATCAATATCTCACTTTCTCTATTTAACAACTTATTATAAGTACCAAGAGATTAACTAACAAGCTATAGTAAGTGAATGTTACAACCTTTTTAACTTTCAATGAGAAAGTTCTTAAGGAAATAAGATATCAATACTAACTTATCATAATGGATCACTTTTAAGAAGTTAAATCTATTATAATGCTACTAATTGCAAATAGACTAGTGTCACTATCAACCATTTTGGGGTTGATCATCGTTTAACAAAAAACTTCATAAACACATTGCTCATAATCACAAGGATATGATATAAAAAATATAATGACTTGGTCATCAATCAAGTGATATCACAAACTAAGTCTATGCTACTACCACAAAGGTTTACACTAATATCAAGTGCCAATGTAATCATAAAATATAACATAAATGCCATACTCTATTGAAAGAGATTTATAACATTTAACACCACCAACTTCATTCACAATATAAATAATCTTATGCCATTCACTTTTTAACTAAACTTAAAATTAATCTAACACCAAGCTATTTAAAGAGCAATAATGAAGTTCCTTGGAAAAAGCCTTTTAATGGCAAGCCTCATCAAAATGGTTTAACACTTCATTACTTTCCATCTCATGGCACACCATTTAAAGACCACTATAACCAATATGTATCAATGTATAGATTCTTGATTGCATGATATGAACATAAGTAATAAAATCATACTTTATTACAAATTATATTTTAGAGAACAAAAGATGATTCACATGTTTAATCCTTTCTATGATGACACTCTTTTTGGATTCAACTTGACTAAATCTTTAATTTACATTTGCACTACCTTTAGTTCAATCTAAGAAAAGAGTATAAAAAAGAACAACAATAACTACTAGAATTGATAGATTAATCCCTATAGTCTTGATTAATCCATTTATAATTTTACCTAGGAAGGATCTACTAGTAGCTATAAATCATACCACTTATAGCAAACCTAATGAAGGTTTACTTTTACCTAAGATAAAGTAAAGGAAAAGATCAAAAGAGCTCTCGTAGCTTTCGAAACCTCACTGATAGCTTTGATTGATCCATTGAGTGATAGACACCTCCAACATTGAACTATCAGCTTCCAAACAGCGATGTTAGCGTGCCGTACACAGAGTACGGCAGTAGGACCTCTTGCGTTTTTCTTTTATCTGCAGTGACGGCGCGGTTAAAAAACTGCGCTTGTTTCCTGTACGGACCACTGACGGCGCTGTCTAACGGAATATTTTCTCTTTCTTTTACCCTTGTTACTTTACTCTTGCCCTTTTAATCCTCTAGTCTCATCAAAATGGCGGATTCCCTTATGGACGCCGACGATAATGCGATTGATCCATCTTCTCTCCCTCTCTCGCATCTTTCTTGATTGACTCCAGGGGAGCATTCTCGATCGATCGATCGATGGATGCACTATAGGTCGCAAGCAAGAGCTTCCATTGCTCCAGCGATGGAGATTATCAGCAGCTGGTAAGATAGTAATAATTCATAGTAGCAATTCATAATAGCAACTTATGGTAACCATTAAAAGGCTAACATTAATCCTACCAGCTTAAAGTATAATTTTATGTTGCTAATATATCTCACTCATTTGCCCAAGCATAAATTTATACAAATGGTACATCTGAAATCTATCTTATGAGCTCTCATACAATATAGTTCAAAATAATAATGAAAATCTTTACCTAAGGAATGCATCTAATACCCTAGCAACCACATGTATACCCATTCAAATTACCATTTTCATCTCCTTGTATGCAACAAGACTAATTACCCAATCTCACTAGATAGTACTATAATAAATTACCATGGGATAAAGAACCTTAACCCTTAGATATGCATGCTAAAGCCAATGGAGTGGGGCTTGAGTTTTAGAGCCTTGGGCCAAACAAAAGGATGGAAGCAAACTTTAGAGGATATAGTTAAAGAGTGAAAGAAAAAAAAACATAGAGCAATATTGAAATAGTTTTAGAGTTTCTAACATTTTAATGCCAAAATAAACACTCAAAACAAAGCCAAATAAAATTTAATGTTATTTTAGCATATGAGTGGTTTAAAGTGAGGATATAAATACTTCACCAACTAACATGGTATGGAGTTTAGACTTAGACTAAGTTAGATGCAAAACAAGAACAAACACGCATAATAGAAAATCAAACGATGTTTCAAGTTGATTAGCTATGCTCGCTTTACCCACTTTCCTTATTATACATTTAAAATCCCTATATACCCCCTCCCTATATAAAAGCACACTTTAGGCTTTCACTCTAGTCCCAAGAGTTTTTATAACAAGCTTAAAAACTTACTAAATATGGAATAATGTTAGATTATGAATTTAAAGATGAGACCAACACCATCATATTCAATATAATCTCTACATTTTATAAATATGTCCAATTGGCAAATCTAGGCACTTTCCATAAATAACTGATTAAATTAAAATAAGATTAATACATTCGTGAAAATGCATTGGTTGACACAATACTATCATTTAACAAATATTAGGAGACTTTGCTTAATGTTGTAGGGGTTCTTAATACTAGCAAATGCAAATAAACAACATAATTTTTCATCACTATGTCAAATATGGTTGACTAAATAATAATTTAGAATTTCCTTCCTTAATGCCCTTTCGATCTAAGTGTACATATGCTAATTAGTTTCTCAATTAACTTGGATAAAGATTGATAAAGGGTCTAGAGATATCAACCTTTTGTTGTTGTGGCAGTAAAAGAAAAATATTTGAAAATACTCATTAACAATTAACTTTTGATACATAAAATCACATTTGCGACACTCTCCCTTTTTCTTTCTCTTTTTTTGTTTTTAAGAAGCTTATTGTTTTAGTGTTAGTGGATTTTCTAAATGAGTATTTCATGCTGTTAGTAGTTGTTATGCTCAATATTCAATGTCACAATATGCAAAGTTAGATTTTCTTTTTATAAATGATGTTTAAGAGGCTCAAAAAGTTGAACTGTGGATTTAAGGGCTTCATGATGTTTTTGAAAATCCTATATAGTTTACTAATGACTTAACATTTCAATATTTTCATTCTTAATATTACTTTGAGGATGGCCTTTTTTATTTGGTAGGGACTATGCCTTATTACATATCTACATTTGCTAAGCTCATAATATTCCTCATTATGCTGCAAAAGGATGGTTCCATTATAGTGAATAACTCATAAGTGGATTCTCTTAAATAATAATTCTTATTGTAGAGTTCCATTAAAGTGAATAACTCATAAATGGATTCAAAGATGGTTCCATTATAGTCAATAACTCATAAATGGATTCTCTTGGATAATAATTCCAAGACCATTGATGTAAAGTTCCATTATAGTGAATAATTTATGAGTGTGGATAATAATTCTATTGATACTTCATTATATAAACTTTTATATATGTAAGCTTTTGAATTTAAATTTCTCAAAAGGTCATTTAGCCCAATACTATTCAAACTCAATAACATGTAACCCCAGATATATAAAGAATATCATAATAGATGGGCATGGAAGATAGGCATGGCTATAATATAAACTCATAGAATCCACGGAATGGGTATTGGATTCTCAGTCATTCTGCCAAAGGCTTAATGGAATATGCTAAGGTGTCCAAAAGTGAAAACCAAGCCAATCAGGATCTGCCAGGATTGCATGTGTGCTTGTGAGGCAGATGTATGAACACCAATTTTATGAATAACACAGCCTTTATGGTTTGTATTTTATTTGATGTTTGATGTGGGTTACCCAAAGCCAGAATTGGGCATATGCAAGAGAATAAATTTGGATATAATAGTGACTAACAACTAGCCTATTACTGTCGAGAATGGGCAACCTGCTATTCTGGCAGTTAACAAGTGTGCATGTGACCTTCATGGGGCTGTGCCTGAGTGGTTAAGACATGTGGCCGATGTTCTGGTACATGTTCTCAAGAACAATAGGTAAAGAGCTATTCTTGACTATAACATTTTTAATCCAACAGATACAGATGGTACGAGGCATGGACATTAGAATTGATCAGTACCAACTGTACATATGGTGAGCCACATTCCCATGGCATCAAGTGCACATCAACCTGCATTCATAACAGAATCCTAAAGTGATTCATCTGTAGCAAATTTAGGCTATTCTATTGCATCTCTACTGCATTCTTGCTCTTTTAGCTATGGCTAAAAGATTGTGAGGCATTTGTAGCAGACGCTTGTGGTTTTGACATGAGCCATGCCTGCTCCACCAGGAATATTTGGAGGAATATTTCATGATGGTTTGGTGTGTTCACTCCATCCTATGCAAAATACAGATAGCACTCATACCTTTGGACTTGACTTGGCTCGCTATAAAATCAGATGCTGGATTTAGGTTTTTCACAATCTTCAAGCTGAATGAAGCTTGATTCCGAAAATGTGCCTGGCTTTTGTTGTTCTTCTGCTTCTAATCATGATCGCCTCCTCATTCCTCGGAAAATTGCAAGCTCAACATGGTCGGCTTCCACCAGGTCCTATGCCTCTCCCAGTTTTAGGATCACTTCTTTCTCTCAGGAATCCACTGCATCGTCACTTTGCAAGCCTCACAAAGATCAATGGACCCATAATCCACATCAAGCTCGGGCTTGTGTCTTGCATAGTTGTGAACAGCTCTGAGATGGCCAGGGAGGTCCTGAGAGCTCATGATGTGGAGTTTGCTTACAGGCCTCTTTCAAAATTTGGAGAGTACTTCAGCTTCAGATGGAAAGATGTTGTGCTTGCTCCTTACGGAGAGTCCTGGAAGAACCTGAAGATGATCACGGCTCAACACTTGCTGAGTCCCAGTAGGCTGGATGCTGCTGCTGCTTACCAAGAATCTGAAATGGCGCTCGTGGTCAAAGATGTTGGACGTCTTGCCACCGCCTCCAAAGTCATCAATCTCAAACATTTCATTGATAAGTTTGTCTCTGGTGCGTTTTGCCAGGTTCTGTTTGGAAAGAGAGATGTGCCGGTTGTGGACTTGATCAGCCTGATTGAGAAGCAGACCCTGAGCATCAATGTCGGGAAGTTCATACGGCCACTTGATTGTCTTGATCTCCATGGAGTGAACCGGAGAATGAGGGATGATCTGATGCCAAAGTTGGAGTCTCTTCTTGCTAATATTATCCAAGAACACAAACAGTGCAAACTCGACATTGAATCCTCGGGCCAGGAATTCATTCCCAAGGACTGGACGGATGTGCTTCTGTCTCTCCAAGACGCTGCTGATAATAATCTCTCAGACATATCAATTATGGCCCTCCTCACTGTAAGTATCCGCAAAGTTCTTCATGGCTATGTCGGATGTTTGTTTCAGGATCTGGTTGCAGCGGGAATTGACAACATGAAGGGAGCTGTAGAGTGGGCGATGGCAGAAGTGATTCAGAACCCCCCTGTCATGCAAAAAGCGCAGGAAGAAATCCAAGACGCAATCGGGACCGAGCGCCTCCTAAGGCTTTCAGATGTCCCCGGCTTGCCTTACATGCACGCAATCCTGAAAGAGGTGTTGCGACTTCATCCAACAGGCCCACTTGGAGTCCCTCATTTTAATCCCACGGAAGCTGTTCTAGCTGGCTACAGGATTCCGAAAGGGTCCACTGTGCTCATCAATATCTGGGCAATTGGACGAGATCCAAAACACTGGCTTGACCCAGAAGACTTCCGTCCCGAACGCTTTCAAGGAACCGAGATCAAGGTGGTCGGACAAGAAGCGCAGCTGGAGATGATCCCATTCTCTGCTGGACGCAGGATGTGCCCGGGGCATCCAGTTGCTGTTCGTTTCATCCCCTTTGCAGTTGCCAGCCTGATTCATGCCTTTGATTGGAGCCTTCCACCGGATCAAAACTCGGTCGACCTGATGGAGAAGGGTGGTACAATCGCAAGCAAGCTGGCTTCAGAGCTAACAGCTGTTGCAAGTCCCCGGTTGAGCTGCAAATCTCTGTATGAATGAGGAATTCAACTGCCCCAATCTTTGACTTTGATTGTGAATGCCAATCGTTTTCCGGAGCCACTGGCACCAATATTCCTTTGGTTCTGGGATTTGAACCAATCTAATCTATGGTACCTTCCTGGTGGAAGCCGATCGTGTTTAGCTTGCGATTTTCCGAAGAATGAGGCGGCGATAATTAGAAGCAGAAGAACAAGAACAGCCAGCCACATTTTTGGAATTAATCCAATCGAAGATGTGAAAAACCCAAATTCAACATCCTTGCAGGAGGATACGACGTATGGCTACACCAGTTTCCTGGGCCATACGACCACACGTTCCACGAAGGTCATGATCAAGTTGGCCGATTAACTACAACCACTGTTCTTGTATATGCGCAGAGCCAGATGTCGAACGATCGGCCCTCTCACGCTTACGACCACATGCAAAGTCCACAATATGATCCGGTCAGTGATCCCAATCCAAGGTACGTACATATTATTCATGTTGGATCCATCTGCGCATGAGAGATGACTAGAAGCTCATCCTCCTCAGAAGCAATGGCATGTACCATGACCTGAGACTACTTGAAAATAATGAGGAAGAAGATATCGTTCCTGAGCGTTGTTCTACAGATTAGTCTCGGTAAAATTTCCAAGCTCTTTTCCTTGCCACCTTTAACATTTGGAATCTCTCGCATTAACTTGTCTAGTTCAACCATCAATTCTCTCTATGTGGAGCTACTTTTCAATGGCAAACACGGGTTGGTGAAATAACCGGACGATTGAGCTCTTCAAGAACTGAGGTTAGTCTTCGACAGGATCAAGCTCCACCCAGGCCATAGGAGCCAAGATCGGTTCATGCAAACGGATGATTTCAGTGGTTTTGCGGGCCAGCCAGTGACATGTGGAAAGAGTTTGCACCATGCACGCCAACTGCTGCCAGGGCCTCCACTCCAAGCTCGCGGATTTGCAGCTGGTATAGGAGGACTGGAACCTGTTAGTTTTCTAGTTAAACGACTGTTTCCCCTAACTACCACTTTGTCATTTTCTCCATGTAAATATATATAAGTCTTGTGTCCGCTCATTTCAGCGTCCACATGAATCTCTTGCCACCTTGGATTAGACTCCAGGCTGGCTATCTACACTCCCACTCAGCTGTGAGAGTCTATAATGCTCGTATCTTCACAATGTTGTTGAAACTTGTCTTTGCTCAAAGCTTTTGTCATAATGTCTGCTGTCATTTGCTTCGTCAAAACATATCTCAGCTGCACTCTGTTGAATAAATGTACATTTATCTCGAAGTGTTTGGTGCGGCCGTGGAACTTCAGATTCTTCAACAACTCGATCGCGCTTCGATTGTCACAAAACAAAGTCACTGGCTGCTGCACTGGAACACCAATCTGCTCCAGAAAATCTGTAAGCCACCTCACTTCTTGAGCTACTGTTGTTGCACTAATATATTTGGCCTCGGTGGATGAAAGTGCTGTGATTGCTTGTCGCTTGCTGCTCCAGCTGACAAGTCCACCACCTAGGAAAAATAGATATCCTGAGGTTGATCTTCTTGTGTCCTTGTCACCAGCCCAATTTGAGTCTGTAAAGCTGACAAGTTGCATACTCCTGGAGCTCCCACTACTGCTAGACACTCTGTTGTAGCTCAACTGATATCCCACTGTACCTCGCAAATATTTAAAAATTCGTTTAACAGCACTCCAATGAACTTCTCCTGGATTCTCAAGAAATCTTAAAACTGCTCCAACTGCAAATCCCAAGTCTAGTCTGGTACTGATGGCTAGATAAATAAGGCGTCCAACTCCTTGTCAATACGGAACTCTCGCCATCACTGCTTTCTCCTCCTCGGAGTTGGGAGTTTGCTCAATAGACAGCACAAGACCTGGATCCATTGGCGTCGCCACAGGCTTGCAATCTTCCATGTTGAACTTGTGCAAGATTTCTTCAACATAATGTGCTTGAGAGAGCTCGATGACTGCTGCTTCTCTGTCCCAAAGCACCTGGATCCCAAGGCAATAAGAAAGACATTTAGTCGCTGAAATCTAAAATTGGGATAAGAACTGTCGCTCAAAATAGCTGACGATTGTTGGCAGATGCGCTGCCATAATATTATCGTTGACATATAGAGCTAGAATAGAAAATGCATCTCCAAAGATAAAATATACACATTGGTATCTGCAAAAATCTACTTAAAGCCAATGGAGGAAAGAAACCTGTTCATGTATGCTCTAGGAGACTACTTCAAGCCATATAGTGCACGCTTAAGTTGACATACCTTCTGCTCCTGTCCTGGGATGGAGGAAAGAAACCTGTTCATGTGCTCGTACCATGCTCTAGGAGACTACTTCAAACCATATAGTGCACGCTTAAGTTGACATACCTTCTGCTCCTGTCCTGGGATGGAGGAAAGAAACCTGTTACCATGCTCTAGGAGACTACTTCAAGCCATATAGTCCACGCTTAAGTTGACATACCTTCTTCTCCTGCCCTGGGATGGAGGAAAGAAACCTGTTCATGTGCTCGTACCATGCTCTAAGAAACTACTTCAAGTCATATAGTCCACGCTTAAGTTGACATACCTTCTGCTCCTGTCCTGGGATGGAGGAAAGAAACCTGTTCATGTGCTCGTACCATGCTCTAGGAGACTACTTCAAGCCATATAGTCCACGCCTAAGTTGACATACCTTCTGCTCCTGTCCTGGGATGGAGGAAAGAAACCTGTTCATGTGCTCGTACCATGCTCTAGGAGACTACTTCAAGCCATATAGTGCACGCTTAAGTTGACATACCTTCTGCTCCTATCCTGGGATGATGAATCCATCTGCCTGTCTCCTCCTTAAGCTCACCATATAAAAACACCGTCTTGATATCAAGAATATGCTGCAAGACAGAATAGAAGACATTTTAGCCACTGGTGAAAAAGTCTCAGAAAATCCACTCCAGGTACTTGACTAAATCCTCTCGCTACAAAGCGAGCTAGATGTCAAGTCACTGCTCCAGTGGCATCCAATTTGCGCTTGAATATCCACTTGATTCTAACGATTTTCCTGCCTGGTGGGAGAGAAACAAGCTCCCAAACGTTGTTACATATCAAAGAGTTGTACTCCTCCTGCATAGCGGCCTTCCACTGTCCTGCTTCTGGTGATTGGAGAGCTCCACAAACTGTGCATGGTTCAAATTGACAGCAATTTGAGGCTGAGTCTTGAGCATCACGAGCTGCTTGCGATAAATAGCTAACTCTCCCACTGTGTGTCACAGCCCCAGAATAATTGGATCGGCTTCTTGCTGAGATCTTGCAGCCACGGGAGTACTAGGCAGCTGCCCTGGAGGAGACGACTCCTCCTCTGGTTCATCAACTGCTTCATCGTGACAGGACTGGGCAGGAAGCTGCTGCTCTGCTTCGACCTGCTGCTGAGGCTGAGGCTGCTGAACTCGCGGCTGCTGCTGGCCGTGCACTTGGGGCTGCGGCCCAGATGCTCTAGAAACGTCCTCTTCATCATAAAATAAAACATAATATGGAGTCTATGCTTGTAAAGAGATTTCTCATCAAACTTGACATCTCTGCTGATAAGAACTGATCTGGCTATTAGTCTCGAGACAATAGCCAACCATGATGCTCTTCGGCTCCAATTTTCTGCAATGACTGTTAGAAACTTTCTCATAAGCTATGCATCCAAAAACTCGTAGATGTCTCAAGCTGGCTTGCTTCCTGGTTCAAAGATGATAAGGAATATCTGCAAGAGGCTGGGTAGGCACTCGATTGCAAATATATGTGGCTGTATTAATTGCCTTGGCCCAGAACGATAGTGGCATTCCTGCGTGAATAAGCATGCTACGTGCACTCTCCATAAGAGTCCAGTTCATTCTTTCAGCAACTCCATTTTGAGCAGGACTATCTGGAGCTGTATCTTCATGCACATGGCCTAGACGCTCATGCCACAACTGGAGATTACTCGCTCGAGTTGAGAGCGCTCGATCTGGCTGCTTGTCTGGAACAACCATGGTGGCGTTGAGTTTATAAAGTCCAGAATAGCGTTGCCCTTGATCTCCTAGAAATGAGTTTTAAACATACATTTGACACGTGGCGTCAATGTAGGGGTGTTATGTTTTAGGGCAAAGCAAAGGCTCCATGGCGATGTTCTTCGCGAGGAAGGCCGGTCTCATCCCCAAGATCGCCCCACACAGCAGGCGCCCAGTCGCCTCCACTCTCCCCGCCGCCATGCCCAAGCTCCGAGAAGCCCGCCCCGCCGCCGAGCTCGAGTCCCTCAAGCACGTCCCCAAGCCGCCCAACATGAAGAGCTTGGCGATCTACCGCTGGGACCCCGACAACACGGGCAAGAAGCCATCGCTCCAGGTCTACTCGCTCAACACCAACGATTGCGGCCCCATGGTGCTGGACGCGCTCATCAAGATCAAGAACGAGATGGATCCCACTCTCACCTTCCGCCGCTCCTGCCGCGAGGGGATCTGCGGCTCCTGCGCCATGAACATCAATGGCAAGAACGGGCTGGCCTGTCTCACCAAGATGATCGTCGACGCGGGGGAGGAGACCACCATCACCCCGCTGCCGCATTTCTACGTGATGAAGGACTTGGTGGTGGACATGACCAACTTTTACCAGCAGTACAAGAGCGTGGAGCCGTGGCTCAAGAAGAAGAGCCCGCCGCCGGCCGGGACGAGGGAGCTCCTCCAGAGCAAGCGCGATCGGGAGAAGCTGGATGGCATGTACGAGTGTATACTTTGCGCGTGCTGCAGCTCGTCGTGCCCGAGCTACTGGTGGAATCCGGAGAGGTTCCTCGGCCCGGCTGCTTTGCTACACGCTCACAGGTACGATCGCTTACTTTTCTTCTGTTTTCGCTGCTTGGCTTGGAGACTTGGAAGAGTTTTCCTTCTTTGCTTTGGACTTATGTCTGGGTCTCTTGAGATCATTGATACATTCTTTGTCTTTTTTTTCTTCTTCTCGACGTGCAGGTTTTTTTTTTCTTTGGTGTGTCAGTACGGAGCGTTGTATTAGACTTTTTACCGAGTTGTGGCTTTGTGTTTAGCTTTTGGTGGAGTTTCTTGGTCGAGCTGCATAGGAAATCTTCTCACACTTTTTTTTTTTTATAATATTTTTTCCTTTGTCGTGAGTCGAAGTTTTTCTAAGATCATCTTGTTCAAGATCTTCCGTCCATGTAGATTTCGCAATTTTGTTTGTCTACATTCCTTCTCCAATCTTCCGGCTTGATTGGTAATTGCAGTTTGGCTTTTTGTTCTTTGTTCTTGCTGCCGGAGAACAAAGTGCTCCTGCTCTCCGTATTCTCCGTATTTATTCGCTTTTCTTTCTCTATTATCATCCTCTGACCTGGCATAACCCCGTCTCTACAGGTGGATCGCCGACAGCCGAGACGAATACCGGAACGAAAGGCTCCAGTCGGTCGAAGGCGATTACAAGCTCTACCGCTGCCACACAATCCGAAACTGCGAGAACGCGTGCCCCAAGAGCCTGAGCCCCGCCAACCAGATCATCAAAATCAAGGGCCTCATGCACAACTAAATACTTGCTCGGGACTTTCCTTCTTTCCGTTTTCCTTTCCTTCTCAAAGGCTTGTTCTTTTGTCCTAAGTTTCTTTGCCACTGTTTTTGTGATTTGTCCCTCCAGTCAAAGTGTCATGAGAGTGAGCGGGTCACCTCTGCAAGTCAAGCTCTTGAATCTCTCTCTCTCTCTCTCCCCCTTCTGGATCGTCCGGAGGAGAGCTTCCACCTTCAGTGCTAGCAAAGTCGGATACGTTGCTTTCGTCTGTTTCACTCGCTCCTCAGCTGATCCAGCGTGAGACACACCAGCCCAAGCGCGAATAGAAACTCTGGAACTCTGCGAGCCACAAGCGTCCGCGTCGAAGCAGTGCGCTTTCACTCTTGCTCACATACTTACGTGCGTCACTGGCGGCGAGAGGGGAAGGAAGGGAGTTCAAGGCAGGCCCTCCGGGAGTGACAAGCGGCCCTTTGCAACACAAAGTGGGGGCCTGGGCGCTTTTATGGACCGCGAACACGCAAAAAGAGAGGATCGCATGGGCGTGCCTCTCTGCCAAACACCATTTTCCCGAGAGAGAGAGAGAGAGATTGGATTTTGTCAACCTTTTGGCTGACTGACAGGTTGAGGATTTGCTTTGGCGAGCAAGCAAGGTTTCTTTAGCTTGGGTTTCGTTTTCACCAGAGTCTCGAGCAGTGGACAAGATGCCTACGAGTAGGCTTGAAAATGCCGTCTCACCTATCTCCTTTTTGTTAGTCGTTGATTTAGTCGTTGATTATAGGCAAAGACAACTTTGCCTGTAATACTGATCCGAGATACACAACGTTTCGTCGCTATAAAGAGAGGGGTCGTTTACTCTCGGCAAGATCACAGTGGTTTTTTCTTCCTCTTCTGCGCTTTTCTCTCCTCTTCTCAAACTCACAACTTGAGAACCAAAAGGAAGAAGAAAAACCAAAGCTCTAGCGCCTGCGCTGCTTGCTTCCGAGAGTTTGCGAGCTCTTCGTTGCTGGTTCGTTCGTTCGTTCGTTCCTTCTTTCCTCGCTAACTCGACTCGGTCGAACAGGAAAGACGATCATGACGATCCAGGATTTCCAGAGCAGTGGAAAGGCCACAGTCCTGGCCGTCGGCACCGCGGTTCCGCCAAAAGAGTTCGACCAGAGCACGTACCCCGACTTCTTCTTCAACGTCACCAATTGCAATGAAAAGGTGGAGCTCAAGGGCAAGTTCCAGCGCATCTGTAAGTCCTCCACCCTCGGATGCCCGGTCCCGGCATTCCCCGCTCACGTAGAAAAATCTCGTTTCTTCGTAGCAAAGCTTCTCGCTTCTGATCACGTCGTCCCTGGATTTCGTTTCTGCGCATTGCAGGTGACAGGTCAGGCATAAAAAAGAGACATTTTTACCTGGACGAGGAGATCCTCAAGGCCAACCCGGGGATGTGCACGTACATGGAGGCGTCGCTGGACGTGAGGCAGGACATCGCGGTGCGGGAGGTTCCAAAGCTGGCCAAGGAGGCGGCCCTCAAGGCGATCAAGGAGTGGGGGCAGCCAAAGTCGAGAATCACGCACTTGGTCTTCGGCACCACCAGCGGGGTCGACATGCCTGGGGCCGACTTCCAGCTCCTCAAGCTCCTCGGCCTCCGCCCGAACGTCAAGCGCGTCATGCTCTACCAGCAGGGCTGCTTCGCCGGTGCCACCGTCACCAGAGTCGCCAAGGATCTGGCCGAGAACAACCCCGGAGCTCGAGTCCTCGTTGCATGCAGCGAAGTCACGGCGGTCACCTTCCGGGCTCCGTCCGAGACGCACCTCGACGGACTGGTCGGCTCGGCTCTGTTTGGCGATGGCGCCGCGGCTCTCATCATCGGCTCCAGTCCCACTCCCGTTGAGAAGCCACTGTTTGAAGTCCACTGGAGCGGACAGTGCGTTCTTCCCGACAGTGATGGAGCAATCCTGGGACACCTGCGCGAGGCCGGCCTCGTCTTCCACCTCCTCAAGGACGTCCCCGGCATCATCTCCAAGAACATCGAGAAGCTGCTGGCAGAGCCTCTCGACTATGTCAAGAGCGTGGACGAGGCGAGCCCGGCCTACACTGACTTGTTCTGGGTGGTCCATCCCGGAGGTCCCGCGATTCTCGATCAGGTAGAGGCCAAGCTCAAGCTCGACAAGGACCGGATGCAGGCCACTCGCGACGTGCTAGCACAGTATGGAAACATGTCGAGCGCCTCTGTTCTCTTTGTTCTCGACCAGATGAGGAAGCGGTCCGTGGAGCTCAACAAGGATACCACCGGGGACGGATTGAAGTGGGGTGTGATGCTCGGTTTCGGCCCCGGCCTCACGGTTGAGACTCTGCTCCTCAAGAGCATCTAGGCAAGATTTGCAGTGCCCGAGAAACAACATAAAAGGTGAGGGGGTGTCAGTAGATCATGCATTACAGGGGGAAGACAAAGTACTACCATGAAGTACAAACAAAAGTTGTTTGTAGAAATGCAATCGAAGAGTCACGAGCGAGATGGATTTCCTAAGCACGAATAAAAACAGAAAGAAAACCGTGAGCAAGATGAAGAAAATGTGTTTGTAATTTTACGTACTCGAGCAGAGGCCGACCATAAAGAAGTTATCCTTCATTTCGTACTGTGGCGTGTCCCACCGTTCATCTCAGGATCCACGAAAGCAACGCCCGACCGGCACTCAACGTGTTATTGCAAAGGCGGGTCCAGGAAAGATTGAATAGGCGCTGTTGACACATACCCCAAATGAAGCTTCCAGCCACTTCCAGTCCGTGGTACCGGAAACACTAGTTACAAAGATCGGAAGGGAAGGTGAAGAAAGAGAGAAATCCCTCTTACCTTTATCAACTGGAAAGACTTAACGATTAGACGTAAGGCCGACTAAGTACTGTGCTGACGAAGTATTTTCCTGTAGATAGCCGACAAAGTTATCAGCACAGTACTGAAAGATCTTAGGCTTGCCTCGACTTTCCACCACTGGCTCTCACTCGTCCGCGTCGCCGGAGAAGATACTTGTGAGAAGCGAGTACGGGGCGGGCACCACTTGATCCAGCTCCATGGCACTAGTTGCAACTCGGACTCCACGCTCGGCGTCGAAAAAAGTCTTACAGGCGCCGAGAAGTGCTGTCCATGCCACGACATCGGCATGAAATGGCATGCTGTTGATCAAGTCCTCTGAATCGTCCAGGTCGCCTTGGCGTGCCAGAAGATCGACCATCGCCCCGTAAACCTCCGGTGTTGGCGTGACTCCGTGGTCGAAGCTCATGGACCGGAAGTAGTCCCAGGATCTGTCCACGAGCCCCTCGTGACTGCATCCGGGGAAGAGGCTCATAAAAGTGACGCTGTTCGGTTCAACGCCATCCAGGATCATGCTATGGAACAGTGACAGTGTCTCCACCCCCTGTCCCTGCTGAGAGTAGGCCGAGAGCATCGCGTTCCATGCAACCACGGGCTTGAGCTTCATCCTGTCAAACAGCTCCCGAGCTGCTCCAAACTTCCCACACTTTCCGTAGAGATTGACGAGTGCCACCAGTATCACGTCGGAAGCCACAACTCGCGATTGGATTGCCTTCCCCTGCAAGAAGTTTCCAGCGGCAGTGCAGGCTCCGAGGACGCTGATGAAGGTTATGTCGTTGGCCTTGCAGCCCTCTACCTCCATCCGCTGGAACAGCTTCAAAGCCTCACTTCCGTGGCCAAGCTGCACGTATGCCTCTATCATCGCTGTCCACGAGACGACCGTCTTCCAGGTGAGTCGATCAAAGACGGACCTTGCGCTCTCCAGGCTACCGCATTTGCTGTACATGTTGACGAGAGCCGAGCCCACGACCGGGTCCTGCTCGAATCCCCCGGTAAGGACTCGCCCGTGAATGGCTGCTCCCTCTGCCAGATATTCAGCGTCACAGCAAGCTCCAAGAGCATTGATGAAAGTTACCTCGTCCTGCTGCACGTCCATGCGATGGAAGTAGCGGAGAGCCCCGTCCATTTGCCCGTGCTGGACGCACGCCCCGATGATGGCGTTCCAAGACGGGGTGTTTCTTCTTGGCATTGTGTCGAAGGCTCGCCGGGCAGCCTCCAAACTTCCACACTTGCTATACGCAGTGATGAAAGTGTTTTGCAATATGATGTCTGCCTCGGTGCCGCAAGCTAGCACACGATCCTGGAGCTCGGATCCCACCGAAAGCATCTCTTTTCCCGAACAACCGGTCAGGAGCGACGTAAAAGTGATGTTGTTGGCCTTCACTCCATCCAGGTCCATGAGATGGAATGTATGAACAGCTCCACCTCCATATCCATGCTGAGCGTAAGCTCCAACCATGGCATTCCATCCAGCCAAGTCCCTGTGCTCCATTCTATCAAACACCGCTCGAGCATCCTCCAGGCTCCCACACTTCCCATACATATTAACCAGCGCGTTCCCCAGAGTTTTTCCAGCGAAAACCTGTGACTGGAACCCGGCAGCTATGATCCCAGCGTGAATCCTCCTTCCTTCTTCGATATCCCCCAGCGAAGAGCACGCATCCAGCGCGCTCACGAAAGTTATCTCTGTCGGCCTCACGTCCATCCTGTGGAAGAGCTCTAGCGCTTGAGCTCCATACCGCTCGTCTTGAGCGTAGCAGCCGATCATCGATGTCCAAGACACGACGTCCCTCCTCCACATCCTGTCAAACACCGCCTTGCCATCCTCGGCGCTCCCACACTTCCCATACGTGTGGATGAGAGCATTGCAAAGTACCACATCCTCATCCACGGCGTTTTGGCGATGATGCGTGACGTGCGAGTGGATCCTCTTGGCCTCTTCCAGGTCTCGCAGATTGGAGCACGCCCCAAGAACTGCGAGGAATGTGACCCTGTTTGGCTGCGCATCCATCTCATAGAACATTGCCACCGCGTCCTCGAAATGCCCGTTGTTGGCAAATGCCGCGATGGCGATGTTCCACGAGTAGACATTCTTGTGCCAGATTCTCGCAAACGCTGCCTGCGCCGCGGCCAAATCCCCACACCTCCCATAGATCTGGACCAAGACATTCCCAAAAAACGTCCCCCTGTCACGGCCGCTGGCGATCGCGTGCTCGTGGATGAGCTTCGCATCCGCCGCCGCCCCGGATTCACCACATTTCCGGAGGAAAGCAGCGTAGGCGCTGTCGAGCTCGTCGCCGCGGGCGCCGATGTGATCTAGCGCTTCTCGCAGGCCGGCGCTCGGGATTATGCGCTTGTCTGGATCGAAAGCCGCTAGATCGGACGCGAAACGCAAGAATCCCGACACACCATACCTCAGCACCTTCCCCGCCTTCCTGAGCATTCAAGAGCATTTGCCCTCACACGTCCACGTGGAAGACACGCGTAAAAAACAAAGTACACGTGTTGATTATAAAAGGCTGACGTGGAGGCCACGCATGACAAACAGTCGTGACTCGAGAATTTCATCCCCTGGAGAGTAAAAAGAATAGAAGAGGGAAGAAAACGAACGAACAAGAATGGCGGACGACGATCGAGAACATCGCAGTAAAGATCGAGACCCGCGGCAGCATTTTGGAGACGCCAAGAACGCTGGAAGTGAGGGGTAAATCTTCTCTTTTCTCGATCAAATTCTTTTCCTTGGATCGCGTTGCTCCTCCTAGAAAAGTTTGCCTGATTGATCATCCTGCGATGAGATGCATCCTTAGAGTTTGCAAGTATAGATATCAAGCGTTTTCTTACACTGCGTAAATCTTCGATCTCCTTGGACCGTATTGCTCGATCTCGAGAAGTTTGCCTGCTTGATCATCCTGCGCTGAGATTCATTCTTTGAGTTTGGAAAGTAGCGAAGAGAGATCAAGCGTTTGCTTACACTGTGTAAGTTGTGTCGTCGTTACAGCCTAGCGAAAGCGAGAGAGGCAGCTCAAGCTCTGAGCCAGGGCCTTGGAGCAGCTCTCGGGATAGCAAAGGACGACGCACAGGAGAGCTACTCTGGAGCCAAAGAGAAAACAAAGTCAGCATACGAGAACGTCAAGAGCAAGGCCAAGGAGCAAAAGATAGCAGCACAGGAAACTATTGGGGAGGGACAAGAGCGAGCCAGGAATCTCTACGAGAATGCAAAGATCAAGGCTAGCGAGAAGAAGGTGGCGGCGCAGGAGAGCATTGGGGAGGGACAAGAGCGAGCCAGCAACGCTTACGAGAATGCAAAGAACAAAGCCGGCGAGCAAAAGGTGGCCGCACAGGAGAGGATTGGAGAGGGACAAGAGCGGGCCAGAAGTGCTTACGAGAGCACGAAGAACAAGGCCAGCGAGCAAGCGGCAGCGGCACACCAGGCAGCACGGGAAGCCGAGGAGAGACGGGGCGGAGAAGGAGAAGGCTGGTTTCAGCGAGGATTTCTCCTGGCAGCGTATGACAAAGCAGCCGAGGCGATCTCGTCGGCTACGTCAAAACCCGAGGGAGGAAGCATAGGACACGAAGACGCTGCTGAGCGAGGCAAGCAAGTCGCAGGAGACGCTGCGGGGAAAGCGAAAGAGACTTCTCACGAAACCAAGAACAAAGGCCAGCAAGCAGTGGAAGGAAACAAGCAACTGTCAAGAGATGCCGCAGACAAAGCAAAGGAGACTTCTAACGAGGCAAAGCACAGAGGTCAGCAAGCCGTGGATCAAACGTCCAAAGAAGCTAGAGAGGCTTCTCACGAAACAAAGCAAAAAGGCGAGCAAGTACTGGATCAAACGAAAGAGAAAGTTGGCAGTCACGCGGACGAAGCAAGACGCACAGGACGTCAGGTTGCGGATGAAGCGAGAGAGAAAGGGAACGAAGGCAAAGGTTTCCTCCAATCCATGGCAGATTCTGTAGCTGGATTTGTGACGGGTGAATCCGAACAAGGACGGGAGTTTAGAGGCAAAACCAGAAGCACTATCGACGAAACGAAGCAAAAAGCCCAAGACACTGCAAGTGGAGTGTCACAGAAAGGCCAAGAGTATGGCGATCAAGTGAAGCAGAAAGTGGACGAGGTTAGCAACAAAGGCCGACAAGTAGCTCACGATGCACGGGATAAAATGCAAGACATGAAAGAGAGAGGACAAGGTACAGCCAGTGATCAAGTTCACGAAGAGAAAGGTTTTTTGCAGTCCATCACAGACTCAGCAACTGCGTTTCTTTCGGGTGAATCAGAGGAAGGACGGGAGATCCGGGACAGAATGAAGGACACCGCTGATAGAACATCGCAGGCAGCTCGGGAGAAAGGCCAAGAGTTTGGTGATCAGGCGAGGCAAAAAGCCGACGACACGAGCAACAAGGGACGACAGGTAGCTCACGATGCAAGAAATAAAATGCAAGAAACGAAGGAGAGAGGACAAGGTACAACCAGTGATCAAGTATACGAAGAAAAAGGTTTTTTGCAGTCCATCACAGACTCAGCAAGCTCGTTTCTTTCGGGTGAATCAGAGGAAGGACGGGAGATCCGGGATAGAATGAAAGACACGGCCGATAGAATGTCTCACGATGCTCGGGAGAAAAGCAAGCAGGCTGCGGATAAAACGAGGGAGAAAGCCGACGAGACCAAACAAAAGTCTCACGAGATGGCTGATGCGACGAGAGGTAAAGCTCAAGAGGAGAGGGGATTCATGCAGTCCATAACCGACTCGGTCACTGCGTTTGTCACGGGTGAACCAGACAAGGGACGAGAGATGCAGGAGAAAACCAGGGGAAAAGTTGATGAAACGAAGCAGAAGGCTCACGAGACCTCGGGTGAAGCTCAACGAAAGGGCCAGCAGTTCGCCGATCAGTCGAAACAAAAATCTCAAGACGTGAAAGAGAGAGGACAAGATATGGCTGATGCAGCAAAATGTGAGGCTAGACAAGAGAAGGGATTTATGCAATAACTGACCGTGCTTGTCTCTGGAGAATCAGACAAAGGACGAGAAATGCAAGACAAAACGAGAAGCACAGCCGATGAAGCCAAGCAAAAAGGCCGAGAAACTTCGAATGAGGCTCGAGAAAAAGGAGAGCATGTTGTCGATCAAGCAAGAGGAAAGTCGGGACACCACGCTGCTGAGGCTCGGGACAAAGGTCGACAATTTGCTGACCAGTCGAAGCAAAAAACTCAAGACGTGAAAGAGCGAGGACAAGAGATGTCTGATGCAACGAGAGGTAAAGCGCAAGAGGAGAAGGGATTCATGCACTCACTCACAGACTCAGTCACGGCATTCGTCACCGGTGATCAGACGAGGGGCGAGAGATGCAAGACAAAGCGAGAAGCACAGCTGATGAAGTCAAGCGAAAAGGCCGAGAAACTTCGGATGAGGCTAGACAAAAAGG